GACACCAGGTCAACGTGGTTCCAATGAACAGGGAAGACAAGCTTTTTCGGGGCTTGAAGACTTCCCCAAACACTCCATGTCTGCCATAGATGCGGATCAGTTGACCCCCCTGGCACCATCCCTGGCCCAGTCATGGCAGTCCTATGGCAGTTTTATGGAGTGTCTGGGTTCTGCTACCAGCAAGCTTTGTTGGCACCGCAAACCTTACGGCATCCGCCAATACCACCTACCGGAGGACCTAACCCACCTTCCGGTCCGGTCGGAGCTTGCAGGAAGTGTGTCAACACCAGCCTCGCAAGCCAATGTGGGTCAGATTGGAACAGGCCCAGTCTCAGCTGGAACTTCTTCTCCAAAATCCCAGCATTCAGCCCGTGGGAGACCCGTGCCCTCGTTGGGTCGAATCAAAAGACCGAGGACTGAAGGGCCACCGGAAAAAGGCCCGACCGCGAAGGCGGCTGTGCGCTGTCCTGTACGGTGGCTTCCAGGACCTGCGGAGTGCGTCGCTGGTCCGACTGCGTTTCATCCCAAGGAATTCAGCCTGTTCAGTCTCAATTAGTGTCAAAACAAATAACAACTAGTGTAAGAATTCAACTGCATAACAGGTTACCCATGGTTACCCGTTCCAAAGGCTCTGATAGATGCTTCTCGCACCATGGCACACGGTTTTGATTCAGTCTTCGCATGGCCGCACCACGCGTATCAGAGGCAGCGTGCCTGAGTGCGCACCATCTCTTTGTGAAAATGGACCTGGAGGCCACTCGTCGAAAGACGAGCGGATGAAGACGAGCTGGACTGTGAGGCTTCCGCAGTGGGAATGCTTGGGATGTGTTTCAATTGGAATCACTTAGATGTAGACTATAACAGAGGTTCACCTTTGTTTAGGTCGAATCTGTTTGATTCCATCAAAGTTATCCAGAGAACTTGCAAACACTTTGTAAAACTCCTGGAAAACATTGAATCCAGAGATATCCTAGCAATTTTGTTCAGCTTTGGGTTCGCTTTCCAAAACCTTGAGGTGTACCTTGACCCCTTGAAGCGGCTGTGCGGTGTTTTCTTCCCCCAGAAGCCAAGGAGGGACGTCTGGGGAGCACGTCCGACGCCCAGTGGCGACCGCTGGTCGAAGAAACACCTTTCATGGAAGTATGCCGACGATGCGGATCGTCCATTCACCATCAAATGGTGCATTTGCTCCCTCAAACCATATCAAACCACCTCTTTATTATGGGGTTACTCTCCAAGTCAATTGCTCATAAGTTTCATACATTTGAAACTTGCAAATGGGGATCATCTACCAGTTTCTTAGTGGCAGGACGTAGTAAGAGCAACTCATGACGGGCACTCTCTCCCCGAAAAGGAATGTTCTGTTTCAACAACCCATGGGTCAATCCAGTCTGGAAACCAGACTTGAAATGGGTCCCTCCTTCAGCTCTGCATTCAACAAACAGTAATAGGATGTAATAGGAGTCGGAAAATCTAGTTGAAATGAACCAAACTCTCATCAGATTATGAGTGCTTAGTCCCTCTCTCTGGATTTGACTAAAAGTGTGGGCCTTTACATTCCTCCATGTCAAGGGCTTGTGAAGACAACCTCTTGGTGTAACATGTTCTGGCGCCCCACCCCCCCCCCCCCCCCCCCCGCCGAGTAGAGCATGCAAAAGAGCAGGGCATTCCTCGCGAAGAACAGCGTCTCCGACGCCGTTCGCGACGCGAAGAACACGGCGTCTCCTCGCCGTTGATGGAAGTTGTGTCGCATGTGTCACCGTCGCCGTCGATGAATAGGCCCGAAATCGCCGGGCGTGTGGGACCGACCATTGGATCGCAAGTCCGACCATTGGCCGTTCGGGTTCGGTTCGTGTTGCTTGGATGTTCGTTGACAAGCAATGCCAGGAGGCTAGAAGCAGTTGGTTGACTGAATGTTCAATGTCCCAACATTTGGTATGCCCCCTTTCAACAAATGCAGAAGATGCAAACTGGACACGGGGAAAAGAGACCTTTGGCATGACCCCTTTCAACAGACTTTGCATGGCTTGTGCATTACAACAGGGTTCAAGGTGGTGATCATTCTTCTCGGACGGTTGCTTCCAAAGAATCTATTCATGTGACCCTTCTTCAAGGGCAGGTCCCTTGGCATCTCTTGCCTGTTTCCTTGGATTGCCGTGTGGGTGTGGTCCGAAGCCCACCCAGAATCACCCAGACTTCCCTAAACCCAAACCACCTAGGCCATCTGGGGGCCCTTGATCCTCACCCCGACCCGGACATCTCCCGAGCAGTATAGCACGGTTGCCGCAAACACAGCATCTGCGCAAGGATGCAAGCCTCGATCTCGCTTCTCGAGAAGCTAAACACCAAAAAGCTAGAGAGATTTACCAGGTGAGAAAAGCCAGAAACACTTTCTAGAAAGAGCAGAGGTTAGCCCTTACCAGGCTACCTGAAGCTAAATTGAGACTAGCTGACTAGCTGAGCCGATCCGGGAAAAGACACAGACTATGGAACTCCCGAAATCGAGACTACATGGAGTCCGGTCCAACGTATTACTTCTTTGACCATTGGACCATCATGCATACTACGGAAACGTATATACAGCTGATGAGTGCTATAGCAAACTGGAAAAAACGGCCGAATCATATCCCGCATGGAACCAAAGCCTTGCAGGAGCTGAAGATCTCAGACTTATGTCAGACTGAAGATCTCAACTTTTGGAGTTGTGGCTTACTGACTCATTTGGTTGCGTGGAGCTCACATCCGCTGACTCATTTGTCAGACTGGTGTACACTTACTCACAAAACAAACTGTATCTATATAATTGTCGATAAACCATGTCTGCACCGCCTGTGAAGTATGATTATGCAGAAGCAACTACCCATCATCCAAGAAAATGTATTTGATTATCCATGGTTGGAGATAAAGAAACACATGTACATAAAATTGTATGGGCTCCAAGCGCCTTCTAAGAAGCTGTTTGCGGTGGATTTATATAGAGGGTCCAAATACCTACTTGGAGCCCTAGGGATGATCTGTCTTGGAGCGACCCTACCTCGTGTATTAACTTCAACTCCCCCACCCAAAAACGTCGAGCGAGGGTCCACGAAGCGACCTGGAAGCCGAGGTACACTTTGGCGCTTCGCCACATGGCGCATCCAACTGCCACCACCGCGGATCGCGTTCGGCGCGGATCGCGTGGAACCGCCGTACTCGGAACTGCAGCGTGGCGGTCACCGGGGAGGTGGCAGTGAAGCTGGGGAGATCCGGGACGTCGGTCGTCAACTTTAACGGGATTACGCAAAGGATATACTGGACCGATGTGATGGGGTTGAAACATGGCTTCAACCAGGACACTGGTGACAGGTGTCCGTTTCCGTGCGAGAAAGTACTATACTCGGTATAGGTGGCCTGTTTGGTTTGGTTTTCTTCTGAGTTTTTCCTGGGTGTCCCCTCCTGGGTGTCTTATGGTATGCGGAAAAAACAAAGTACTCGGCTCCGAGGCTTGGAAGGTGGTCTCAAGAATGATTCAAATGCCTCGTCCTTCATTTTCACACACAAGCACATGAGCAAGGTCGTGGGGACCACTTGTGGTCAGAGTCTTGTTGAAGGGCATTTTTGTCCTCTCAAACACAGAAGTTGAAATTCAAGCACCGCAAGGGTTAAAAAAAATGGTTCAAAGAACTGCCCAACTTGCCATGTTCAAGCCGACACACATGACAAAACACCTTTGTGATGCTGTTCTCTTTGAGCCAGGTTCCAGCGGTCGGCAATAGCAAGGTCTTTGACTTGGAATTTGAGGGAGAGTCCTTGCTCCTAGTAGCGATGCCCTTTGTTCCTAGTAACTTCTCGTTCCTAGTAGTAAGGCCAGGAGCTACTAGTAGCGTCCTGGCCCTAGTAGCGATGCCCTTAATTGCTGCTCTTTCCTTGTAGCTTTAGCATGCTTTAGCCAGCCAATGATGAAGGTGGAAACGACTTCGCCTGGTTTAGAAACCTTCGCGGATTGACCACCGACGGCCCTGATCTACCAGGAGACCCTCTCCGAGGGTGCCGAACGCCCGATAGAGATCCCGATCAAACAAGACACCCTTTGTTTCATCTACACTCCCTGAAACAATCGTGGTTACGTGGATGGCATGGGTCCCAAAACTTAGAGCCATGGATGGCATGGACACAAATCTTATACCGGTGGATTGGCATGGTCACAAATCTTAGACCCGTGAGTGGATGGCATGGTCTTAGACCATGAAATCCGAACACCAAACAGGGGGTTGTCCACTTCCATGCTTGTTGGAGGGAGTAGTTAATTGGGCAATCCGAGGCTTGATTAATCGAAACACATGGGGAACTTCCGAATGGCTACATACAACGTCACGCACCCGAAGGCACGCACTGAGGATGGTGTGGTCCGAGATTCGTCGCTCGCGCCCAAGCCACACAACCACACCACCAGCCATTGTCTTTCCCCACTCAGATCTTCGTTGGGGTTTCGTGGTCATTCTTGGTCCGCACAATCTCGAGGATCGTGGGACTACTGCAAATCGGTTGAACTGCACCACAAGATCGTCTCAAACCACAAGATCGTCTTAAACAGCATAGTCAATGTTCTTACAATTCCGCATCTGGCTCATAGGTATACAAAAAGATGTATATATAATCAAAAGGGATGCCTTGTCTGTCTTTGAGTTCCTTGCCAATAAATGGCTCATGCTACCAAGTCTGTGATACCCTGACATGGGACACTGGGCCACCCAACCTGCAGCACAAACTGAATTCGCTGAATTTAACATTTAGACTGGATATATAGATTGTGCATTGAAACCACGTATCATTGGATTCAGTAAACACTCCGGTGCAGTGTTTTGCTGTGACACCAATCCCTGAAGTGTCTCTGCTGGTGAACTGACAACCTGTGCAATGCAAATGGCCATCGCTCCAAATAACCCTTTGTAAGCCTTTGTAAGGAAACATATCATACCAACCTTGCGCGGGTGGATTGAGCCGCACGTTGGTACTCAGCGGGCAGATCGGAGCATCACCTCAGCCGTCCTTTTCCTCTTCGCATAGTCGTCTCTCGTCTCCGTTGCACGTCAGGCACCACGGAAGCGGAACCGCAGCATAGCACCTCAAGCGCGGCGCGCAGCGCTTCCTTCGGTGTTTCCGGCGCTGCCTCGCCCGAAGACTCACAAGACTTGAGACGTCTTCGATCTTTGAAGGGGGGGTCGTCCGCGGACTGATCATGACTGATCTCCTACCATTATTACAGGGTAATACAGAAGACCCTTCAGAATACCCTGTTTACGATCCTGTAAGACTGTTAGATCTGAGTTGGCTCATGATGAGTGCCTTAGAGCCAATACTGGAGCCGATCCTTTTCATGTCTTAAAGAAAAAATCTACGGGAAAAATGGCTTCTGGCGGTCGCTCACCGGATTTTCACTGCGGCTCTCGGTCGCGCCGTCCATTTGGAGGTCCGTTCCCTTCGGCCGGCGGATTGCTTGGCGCCGGCACCCGCAGAGACCCAAACCTCCGCTGGACATGGTAGCTTGACGATTTGCCTGGTTCTTGCCTATTAAAAAGTTGAGTGGGGAAACCAATCCCCTAAAAAGGGTTTTGCAGGTTGGTAGGTTGTTGAAGGTGCATGCTGAGTGACCGTTGATCGCTTCAAAAAGTCTTCGGACTTAGTGGCTCACTTACGTTCCCAGCCTCTGCGGTGGCCCAATTGTCAATTAAGTCAGCATAGACACCCAAGCCACCAACGCAAAACTGTTGTGAAGACATTTGTCTCGCCCATCCAGGCCACATGGCGCCAATCTCTGAGATCTGCACATCCTCAAAGCTCACCGCACCTGGGTGCAGCTTTGTTCGAGGAGTTCGACAGCTTTCCGATGGGTCCCGGGTCAGGCATGCTCACCCTCTCTCCGTCTTGTGGCGGCTGCGTTCTGGTGATCTGTCGATGGCCAAAGACGACCGACCTTCTTATTTGGAACCCGAAGGCATCAGAAGGTTTTAGGGGCCTTCTCCCTCTTCGCAGGGGTCCGGACCTTGCCAAAAATCCATCCCTATTGGATTCTGAGTGCTCAGCACCTATATAAATCAGAAAGGGATGGTTTGTTGCTTTTGTGTGTGTGTGTGTCGTTCTCTCCACATGGATGTCTGCCGCGCTGATGGTCTGCTGATGGTCTGCGGCTTTCTTTTCTTCGCTCCGGCACTCCCAGCTCAGTCGTCCGTTCTCAGTTCCCAGCTCAGTGATCAGCACCGACAGACCTCGGACGGTGGAGACGTGGAGACCGAGGCAGTGCCAAGCGAGGCAGATCAGGTCGTGGTTCGACGTTTCGAGGGTTCAGGCGGAAAGGTGCACCCCCTTTTTGGGGGTTCAGAACAAACCTCCATTGCAATGTTTCGAGGTGGACCGCCGCTTGACCCAAGTGGTCGTTTTGATCATACGCAGAGACTGGGATTGGTGTATGTCGTTCAACTCAGAGTCCAAACTGATGGGTTTGCACATTTCGGGAAGCTGGGAAAAACATCCCAAAACTTCCCCATCTCCAGTTCGGGACAATCAATCCACCTGAATTCCACCAAACAAACAGAAACTGATGGGGGACCAACCAAATCTTGACTGTTCAAATCTTGCATGGTGGAGTGGTTCAACCTGCGTGGTGGGCTGTATCCTTTTTTAGTAAGTCCATCAAGAATCAAGACACTTCGAACAAACCACCGCAGTCCTCCTACTGCCTACCCTCCCATACAACACAGCAATCCCGGTGGGTGTGGAAGAAGTTCCCACTTCTTCCATACTATCAATGTGTGTGTGTGTCAACCCCCGTGTCCAGGGGCACTACACCTCTCTCTATCTTTTGCTACTATCACTATTCTCACTTTGACTCATGTACAGATATGCAGGGGGTAGCGGCAGATCATTTGGGACCGCTACCAACGAAGACACCCAATTGATCTGGTGAAGCACTGGGAGACGTCCTAGTGTGTACCTGCTTTTTGAATTTTGTGGTGTAAACCATACTGTTCTTGGACTCTCTCGTCATTCCGTTCCTTGCGGCGCTCTAGCCATTTCACAGGTTGATGGTTTGAGCGCTCACCGCGCTGATGGTTTTGCAGTAACAAATCTTAAAGTGCTAATGCTCACCGCGCATCTCTGAAGCACAGCTCCGCGGAGCACTCATCTTAAGTGTGTGTCATTGTACCTGTCATCTTACCGACCGCCTTCCCCGGCCATGTACTACCCACGCGTTACCCGGCTCGTGTCCCGGCTCGTGTGCCCCGCGTAGGCCGCCCCGCGCGGCTTGCTGCCGGCGCCCACCGCGACGTTCTCGATCTTGCGGACCTCGGTCGACGGGTCGAAGGGACCTTCGAGCAGCGGCGAGGGACCCAGGGGCGGCGGTCTCCTCGGGGCGGTCGGTGGATCAAGGAGTGGATCATCCTGGCAGGCTGGTAGGTAGTCTATTGGCGACCCAGACAGCATGATCCATGTAGTCTAGCAGTCTAGCAAAAAGAGTGATGAATTATTCTCTTTCACCTGAGAAAAAAGCCTTAATTACACTCCGACTCACTAAACATGGAAAATCCCGAAGCCCCTGTTCGTGGGGGCCAGTCGTCTTCCTTTCGGGACCATGCCATCTACGTAACCATGTGATGCGTTTGTCAGAGTGTATACTCATTGCAAGAGGCTCAAACAGCTCTCAATGCAGTGGTCCCGGAAGGCCTAGTCTGAATGTCCCACACACGCCGGATGAAGAGATGCGAAAGAACAAAAATCCAGAGAACCCACATCTTAGTCGTCACTACAACCAAAAAAAGTCCAAGTAGTCTGGCTGGTCGCTTAACGGTTGCGAATCATGCACCACACCCATTCCAACATCACTTCAGAAAGTCTTGGGGCTTGGTGTTCTCTTTCGCTGCTAGTGCAATCCTGCCAGCTGCAACGTAGCAGTCGCTTAGCAAATCCACTGGCTCAATCAGCGGTGTCCGGCCTTTTTCGGTGCGAGTGCGGGACGTCCCAAAAGGCAACGGCCGACGGATGGATGTGTTTCATCACTGATTTTAGTGTTCAGAAAGGAGAAGGAATACAGAACAACTTGATATTTCTTCACAAAATCAAAAGCAAAACACACTACATAAATGCACACTCCGATTCACTCACATGGAAGTGGATAGCATGGCCTTTGAGAAGACAACGTTCCTCCACAAAAACGTGGTTCTTGGCGTTAGTAATTCATGCCCTTGTTACTATAGTACAGTAGCTTCTTGTTGCTCCGTAGCGATGCCCTTGTGACTCTCCACTTCCATCTGATGTGTCTCGGAAGTGTCGACCTCTGCCCGCTGCGAACGAAGGAAGATGCCTCCGCGAGAAACCCTGTTGACTCGCTGAGTCTCCCAAGCCACCAGCATGGACGCGGGATCCAGCACCTGGAATACGCGGGATCCAGCACTTGGAATCTGGAGAATATGCAGGGATCTCTGGGGGGCCAGTGGCTTATCCTTGTCTTCCTCCCCCCTGTCTTCTTCGGTGGTTTTCGCGCCTCCGCGGAGACAAGCTGCGGACGGTCTGACCCGGCGAAAGGCTGTGGTGGAAACAGGAACAGAGGCGCCCCACAGTCTGGTTCACAATACGTATACTGAGTGACCCTGAGTGACCCATAGTGACCCCTATTGAACTATTGATGTTGGATCGCCCGACATATGGTCTTTTCCTATCAATACAGAGGTCAAATGGATTGTGTAAAAAAGAGTGTGTGTGTGTGTATACAGTATATACCTTATAGACTTCTGGACCGTTTTCCTGAGTTCGAGCAACAATGAGGATCTGCCAAATGTCCAGGAAGATGTCACGAAGACAGCAGTACTTCCAAGACCAGAAACAATCTACTTCAAGATCATCATCAAATAATCCCAAACAAATGCACTTCTGCACATATACATGGAAGCCAGGAACCAAGATCATGATGCTCTACTGAACCCCGCCTGTGGGCGGAAGAGTATCCAGCAAAACAATCCAGGAGATTCTTCAGCAGCAAGGACGCTACTAGGGGCGCTCCTGGCCTTAATACTAGGAACAAGAAGCTACTAGGAGCAAAGGGCATCGCTACGAACAGAGCGTTCGGACGCTACTAGGTTCCTCCAAGCTTTCTCCGGAAACGACGACGAAGCGACAAAACGACGAACCGGTCCCGTCGGCGGAAAGGACGAGCCGTTTCCGGACCGAACCTTTGTTGGAACCCCCCAGCTGAGCAGATCGGGTGCCCAGGTCTTCGGAAAAAAACAGGGTTTGTGCAGGTCTTCGGGTGAACGCTTTTTGGAACGGTCCGTCTGTGGTTTGGTGTGTGGAGGGGGTACGAATTCGGAAGTCGTACGTTCGACCACTCGTCGAAATAGGAACACACCAAGCTGTTCGGAGGGCGCCCGTAACAAGCAAGGAAACTCTGGAAGACCTGGTCTACGACGGAGGTGATGCACCATGGTGCGCACCATGGCGAAACGGAGTGCGAAGACTCTCCCAGGTGGGATGTGCTGTTTTGGAACCATCTGGATAAACATCTCACCTTCACCCCAACCTCCACCACCACTGCGGTTTCTACATCGGTCAACGATTCCCAAGATCTCCTACCGGATGTCCTAACATAGAAGCGTCACAACAAAATCCATACCCTTCCTCCACAGTCCACTGGTCTGTTCCACCTCTTGGGAAAAAGGGAGCCATCCCGCTGCCCTCCAAAGTCGTGCTACTATATGCCACTGACTCATGACATCGTTCCCACTGCACCCCCCACCTGTCCAAAGACCACATGCTTGTTGTCAAGCCAGTCGCACTTGTTTGCAGTGATGAAGAACTGACACGAAGCTGCGAGAATTTGAGGCTTGGCAGATCAGAGAACTTGTTCCAGAGGTTTGTGTCTGAGAATGTCATGATATGGCTATGTATTTAAACATATTTAAATAAGGATTTCGAGATATTCCAAAACCGGAAATGCGATTTCCAGATAATCAAGGAAAATATGGCTGTGGGTCCAAAGCCTTGTAGCTCGACCTCCCTGGTAGTCCGTCCTGTTCATGTTCGGTGGTCAATCTGGCACCCCCAGTTTTGACCCGCAGCCAGGTGGACTATCTGATATCTGCCTCTGTGTACCTCCTGCAGCGGTGAATCTTGGCGAGTGTCTTCGTATCTGCCTTCCCTGAATGATGGGATGCTACAGACGTTGGGATCCCACAATGGACTTGTTCACCTGCATTCCCCAAACCCCCACTCACGCGGTTTCCTGCGGAAACTTTGTGCCAAAGATATCGGAAAACAATGTGACAAGGGGGTCTTCGTCTTGCGCTTGCCATGCTTGTCAGCTTGCTTTTCTGTTTCCTCTGTACCTAGACCGGACCCTCCAAAACAAGTTCGGGGACCTGACAAACAATCTCTTTCTGAAGAAGTGTTCAGGCAAAAATACCACACCTGTGAACACAAACATAATTCCTTGAAAGCGGTTGAACTTTTGGGCAAGCAGACTGTTTGGTGGATCGAAGTGAAGCGAGCTGGGAATTGGTGAATTGGACTTGTTGTTTGGGGGGGTCCCTCCCTGCCGGCAATTCATATTACAGTATACGTATCGTGTACCTGGACCATCCTGTCAGGGTCTCCAATAGACTACCCGACTACCATAAGGGATATCCGTTGGACACCTCTTGGATGGTCGTTTCGTACCTCCAACTCCGCGACCGCCTGGCATCCGTTGGAATTGGCGCCACTGTTCGCCATCGAAAGGAGGCCCGGCTTGTCATGCCTTTCGGACAGGGATGGCGGTCAACCGTCAAAGAGATTAGGTTGTAAGATGTTAAGTCAAAACCTTGGTTGACTGACTTCAAAACTAATTACCAGGATGTCAACCTATGGAGCTATGGAGCTGCAAGTCGGACCTTCCCAAATGACTCACATGCTCTCTGGGAAAGAATAGAGTTAGGCGTGACAACAGTGAACCTGGTATGTGCAATCATGATACGACATACAGTATGATAGTTTGATGGACCCTTCAATTCCAGCTCTGCTCTTTTAGTCTTAGACCCGGGTTCCTCATAATAACAACTCGGGCTGAGCCTCTACTTTTTGACCTGCTGCAGTGTAGTATGTGTTGAAGAAGCATTCAACTGAGATCAACTGAGCATTTGTAGCTCATCCTCTTTCCTTCATCACTGGGTCTACAAAGCCATGGCTGTGGGTCATGGCAGAGGGGAACCCTGGAGAGGGAAAATAAACAGAATAGACTCATGGTCAACAGCAGGGCTTAATTAGGGCTCCGGGTTTTTGACCCACAGCCATATCTGAAGGAACGTGTCCATGTATTCCATGCTTGAACACTCATCCTCTACAGTCATCACCGGGTCTCCTCGACAAAGCCATGAGTTGTGAAGGAACGTGTGCATGTATTCAATCTATCCATCCTCCAATCATGGCGACAGGACAGAGTTCAGGTCAAACAAAACGGACTGAGTTCCACTCTTGAGCACGAAGTTCTCATCGGGGAACCGCTCCCCAAAGATGCTCAGACTGCCTGAGAGTGGCAGTTCGTAACCTTTCAACCACAGGTCCGTTCTGTATCATGGATGGTCAAGATTCAATTTGAGAAATTACTTTTGGGATTGGTTTGGAACTTAAGTCTCACACCCTCAAGGAGAAGACTTGCGGCATGTCTAAGGTGAGTGGCGCATGACTCGGTACAAAAGGAAGACGGTCATGACTCGACTCATGATTCTTATTGAGTGTCTTCACAGTGCAAAACTCTCACAAAGGGGCATCCACTTGTTGGCATCATGTCTGTTGCCGATTGCCACGCAGTAGCAATACGAGCAGCATGTGTATGCAAGTAGTGCAAGGACAAATATTAAGCATTGCCAGCATCACAAAAATGCGAAACTGATATGAAACCGCATAATTCATCTGATGGCTGAAATCTTCAAAATGTTGGGGCAATGAGGACGAGGACAGAGACAACCGACCTCTCCCGCCTTGCCTGTGCCGTCTCCTTTCACGAAATCACCACCTTGGATCATGAAGTCCTGGCCAAGGCATTGTCTGGCCGATCAAAGCAGGACCCCGAATTGCATGGGTGAAAGAGCAAATGGCGTTGTGGTTTGCCCAGGTCTCCAAATTGTAATTCAACTGTTTTACACATCGCTCGGTGGGCTTCCTGTACGCAAGCCGCAAAGGCGGTATTTGTCTGCCAGAACATCGTGTCCCTGTTGTGCTCAGCAGGGGAAAAAACACCACAACTTGAATAGAATACCAACAACAAAGTTGCCACGGGAAACAGGGAAACACTCCCTGCCCAACAAAACCGGCCACATGAAGAGCACCGTCAGTCACCTTGATGATTCGGTGGAAGGTACAGTTCTTGTAGCCGATGGGGACCTGACAGCGAGGCGGACAAAACGCCCCATGCGAGGCGTGCAGTTCGCATGTGTTTTGGCTACGTTGGAAACATGGGGTCCAACAAGCAGGGCAGATGGAGACACCTAACATCTTCCGGCTTTAAGCTTTCCAAAGAGAGGGAACTTGGAAACACCCTCTTGAGACATCAAAGGCAGTCTTGCAGCCCAGCCCATTCGCATGAGCTTTCACATGAGCTTCATGCTCATCTTTTAAGCGCATACTAGCTAGCGCATTAAATCTCAGAAAGGCTTGACTGCTCGAAAGGGATCGCAAGCAGCAAGCATGTACATGCAGTTATAAGTTATAAGATAAGGGCATATAACAAACTTAAGTGCAGGTATTGCATTCAATGTATATATATATATACATCTGGAGCATCAGCAGATGGAAACTCCATATTTCTAGCGATTGGAGAGATTGGCTGCAACTTCCAGGCATACTTTCTTGCGATCTACTGAAATTTGCAACTGGTCCTAATCTCAACCACGACATGACAGCATTGGGCGAGTTCACCTTGAATGATCTTGAAGCTGTCTTGATTGTCTGCAGGGCCATCTGAACGCTCTGAAGGCTATGACCCCTCCGAGAAAGGGAACTCCCCACCCTTAACCAGGCCTTGTTCAACTTGAACTCTCCAGTGCAAAGCTGTCTGAAGTTCTCCGCGGTCTTGGGCACCTTAGGACGATCCACTTAGACGACTTGGACGGACGGACCAAGGCACCAGGAGTCTGTCTGCAAGGCACCGGGTCCATGAGAAAGGATCAACCACTTCACTTCAGAAGCGCCAACCACAATCACGAAGTTCTTTAGTTGGATTGGCTTTCTCGCTTGATCGAATTACCATTCAGCTACTACAAAAGTTTGGGCTTTGACCTCATTTACAAACTGGCCCTGGAAAAGAAGTGTATAGGGGTCTGCCGTCTCTTTTACCGGGCCCCATGCTTGCTCATATGGTGTGTAGCCTGCCCGATGTCGATAGACCAAGCGTCACGCCCTATTTCATCTGCAAATGTTCTGCTCTTGGAGGATCATCCCACTTGTCAATGGTTGTCTAGCCACAGCCCGACGCTTGTGCGAACTGTCCCACTCATCTTTTCAACCACTCTCTTTCTCTGTTCAGGAGCCTCAAACATTCTCGGATCCTTCCTGAATTTTCCTATCAAGAACCGCGTGCAGAACTCGCAGTGCACTTTGCTCTGACCATGGTGAAATCGGGGCCATGCCTCCTCCACGTACACTCCGACTCACTAAGTGGAAACCCAAAAGATACCATCCACTTCCGTCGGAGGGTAATTATGGATTCTTTCAGGTTCTACTCCTGCTTCACCACCCGAGGTTCCACACGTTTGGCATGTTTGGGGCGCCGGCCACATCTCTGAAGAGCTCCATCTTTATCCGCCCAACGGGATGGCCTGAAGGAAAGAGGACAGGTTTCATCCTTTAAGTCTCACTGCCCGAAAGCTTGTTGGGCGATGATGGTTTACAAGCCCCTGGAAAAACATGATAACTGGTTGAAGGTCAAGAAATACACGGAATTTATAGTGGGCTGTGGCATGTTGTGCGACTAAAGTGTCCCAACGTCCAGTGTCCATCGTGTTTGAGCGCAGGTCCTCAAACAAGGGAACCGCTCGGAGGACCCAGCGACAGCATTCTGAGCAAGGCGTTCTGAGCGAGGCGTTGACCCGCACCTCCGATGGAGATGTCGAAGAAGACCACCGGATTGTCAATATGCCTCGCGGAGCCATCCGAGGGTCCAACACCCAGGTTTGCCAGAGATGAGTGAGTGCGTGTGTCTCACGCAGGTTGGAAGAAAGAACCGTGTCGGTCACTGGTCTTGCGATTTCGGTTTGGCACTCCAGGGGCGAAAAAGCGCCAAACTTCTAGACAAGCAAGATCAAGCAAGTGCTTGGGAATTCTCACTTGGTCGCTCCAAAGAGAGCTGAAACCGCAGGGGAGGAGTATGATACCAGTGGGCCACCGTGAGGCGTCGCTCCCTCGCTGCAAACCACCAGCTGGAAGTCATGAAGGGGTAAGGCTGGCCTGCTGGATGAGAGGAGAACCAAGAAAACCCCTTGACCTTCCAAGCACCAGCAAGTACTTTGGATTCTCAAAGAAGGACAAAGCATGTTGATCGGGCTGGGCTCCCAAAAAATAGTTACGCCACCACAAAAAAACAGATGGTACCCGGTACCCGGGTAAAAAAAGTGGATCGGATCCGTTCTCACATCATTTCATCAACCAGAAGCAAATGCCAATCAGATCAGAACAACTTTGTTTCAGTTTCTGCCTCTCGGTTTTTGAAGCGCAACATCTGCACACGGTAGACTCGCAGAACTCTGGGCCTCGCAGGCCCAATCCTTCCTGCAACCAGCTTCAATCGATTCCCAATCCTTTTTGCTGCCGACCTTTACGTCAATGGCTCTTTTGGCTTTTGCTTTCATTAACCCTGCTCAGAGCCAGAATGAAGACTCTTGATTCTATTTCACCCCCGCGAGACACGGATCTCACAACCTCTTCATACCGGGAACCCCGCATTGGGGGGTGAAATAGAATCAAGAGTCTACATGATCAACCCCAGTATGCAGGGCCTCTGAGGCCTGTTCTCAGCCACCTGCGCCATGTCCGCCTGCGAGCACTCAAGTGGAGCGGGGGAGCTCTTGACCTCTCACCTGTGGGTAACCACACTCAATCCAGTTAGAGAGACAAACACATGTTCATTTGTCATGTTGGAAAGCCGAAGACATGCTTCGTTCACTGGTCTGACGACATGAAGCCTCGCCCTTTTGACCCGCAGAAGTAAATGTCCAACCGATTCATCCTTCAGTTGTGAGCCCCGAGAAGACCGAAGCTAGTTGACAGACCTGAAACTCATCGGAGCTTTCTTGAAAACAAGTATCTTGGACCCTGAGTAGCTCGGTGCGACACGTTTGAGGTTCCAAGAGGCCACCCTGCGACGATGGAGACCGGAGGGTGGTGAAGGTGTGTGATCAGAACTCCTGTCACCTTCAACTCACGAACGAAACATGTTGGGGGGGTCAGTGGGATCAATCATCCAAACCAAAGTAAAAGGTTGAAAAATGAACAAAAAACATATCAATATATATATATATTGATTCATATATATATATATATTGTATATATATCCGCCGACCCCACACCGTGGGGTGAGGCGTGACTGTCGATGTTAGCCTTAGCCTTAAGCCTTAGCCTTAGCCTTAGCCTTAGACCTTAGACCTAGTCCTTAGCCTTAGACCTAGACCTAGACCTTACCTCCCCTACCCCTCCGGACCCTTGTTGCAATGACGAAATCCTGCCGGGAAAGCGACCTGGATTGTCCAAGAATCTGCCATCCCAATTGATTTACATCTTGGGGCACCCTCTCGACCCGCGCGGGAAAATAAGCACGGTCCAAAATGGTCCTGGGCTCGAATCCCGGGCTGGTCGCGGCATGGTCCCGGCCAATGCCCTTGCTTTTTCGTAGATTTTGTCACGTTTTCTGTTGGCTTATGAGATTTTCAAAGGCTTTTCTGGCATTTTCCTAGGACTCTAGGCTTTGTCTTTTTGGGTACCTGCTTTGGTGGTGCTGGGTTGGGTCTAAATTGGTAAACCTGGGAGGTGCCCAAAAAGTCGACTTTTTGGGTACCTGCTTTGGTGGTGAAGGGTTGGGTCTAAGTTCTTGGGCAATGATCGGGGTTCATGCAAGAGCTGACGTCCGATGGTAAATCTGGGAGGTACCCAAAAAGTCGACTTTTTGGGTACCTGCTTTGGTGGTGCTGGGTTGGGTCTGCACTCTTAAGGCTAAGGCTTAAGGCTAAGGCTAACATAGAGCAAGGCTAGCGCTAAGGTTCTATCCCTTGGGGGTCGGCGGCTGCAGGCGGTAGCCTGGTAAATATACATATCCAATATCTAGCTTCTTCAAAGTGACCTTTAGAATCCTTTTGAATCCTTTTGATATTTTATGTTTGTAAAGAGGTCACTTGTCTCTTTGTATCAAAAAGGTCACTTAGAAGAAGCTAGGCAGGATCCTTCGATATCAAAATGTCCACTTAGACATTCAAAAGAAGACTTGTAGGCACATGTTCACAACCGTCTTGGTTGACCTTCCCAAAACCACCCACCCAGTTTCCTTCGCCCCCAAACCCGGCAGAAAACCGGCAGACACTCCCATCTCTGCGCCTTCTCTCGGAGTCACCGTCGACCTGTTCACCCGTTGTGGGGACTCCGCCTTTGAGCCATCGGCCAAAAGAACCCATGGAGAGACCGGTGGAATCAAACGTGTGGGCAACCGACCGGGCACGTCGGCGACGTCCGGGTGGACGTCGGTCAGCTCTCGCGGCTTTCGCTGTGGGGCGACCGGGCTCCAGGTGGGTCGCGACCCATCCCCAAATGGCAGCACCAAAAAACCCGGTCACGTGCCCCAGAAACCCGGGACGAGCTTTTCGCTCAGAGCAGTCCGTCAATTCCGTCGGTGCACAATCGACCGCGTCACTCCCTGCCAATGGATCGACCGCATCCGGTGGTCAGAGTAGATTGGAGAAAAAGCTTGTAGAACTAGGAGGCCATCGCTAGTAGGAGCAAGCACGCTACTAGGAAGCAAGGACGCTACTAGTAGCTCCTGGCCTTACTACTAGGAGCAAGAAGCTAGTAGGCTGGAGGCCATCGCTTGTAGAACTATCCCTGGCTGCACCTCCGTTTGACCTGGCACCGGGTGAGTCAACAGCGACTTTCACTCGGAGGGCGTGCAATTCGCAGGGTGAAACCGAACGAGGTCGCGCATCAAGGCTTCGGATCGAATCAAAGTGGATAGGGATGAGGTCATTCTGAGTGGGGAATTCGGGATGGCGTATCTGTAGAGATGAAGCAAAAGGATTTGAACATCTAGCTAGAAAAGAGTGCTCTGTCTAAGCTTAACAGATTCAAATCCAAGTGTCCTCACATGCCCTCACTTCTGTTCACTCAAACTGTTCCGGGCATCCTCTCAGCGCCCCCCCTTCTCTTCAAGGACATCAGCAGAGCTGCCAATCTGTGTCCAGAGTTGCCACGAATTACAGGATTCAGGACACAAAGGCTGGGTGATACAGCTTCAGCCTCAGCCGTGGCCCAAAAGAATCTCGAAAAGCAACGGGTCTTTTTGGTGAAAAAATGGACCTGGACCGCGTTTGACCCAGGATCTAGAGTTTCACCCCCAAGGTGACGTCACCTGTCAAAAGTCGGAAACATGTTCATCCCTCATGTGGGGAGCACAAGTGTTTGCCCTTGAAAGTATGACTTGCACTTTTATGCCTCGGTGATTGAGCTACAAAGGCAAATAAGGATCATGTCATCCCAACCTTTAAGTCATCCATCCTTGGTTGTGGATCTGGGTCACAACCCAATGCCTGCCGTGAACCCCCCCAAAAAATATATATATATATATACAGTAATTATATTAATTGTCTGTATAATCCCGAGTACCTATTGAAAAAGACTCCTCAATTAAAGAAACACCATGTCCGAAACCCTTATACTTGCTTTTAAATTACCGCCCCTATCAAGCCGCTACTAAACCACCAACATGGTCGATATTTGGTGTAGTTTTTGAAAATTACAGTAGGTTCCCCCAAGCTCCCTCAAAGTAGGTCCCAATACACCCTCAAAGTCGACCAAGCTCTGGCTGTCTGTCTGGCTCTGGGCAGGTTGATATCCTCTTGCCCCAATCCTACAAACATGCCGCGGTTATATATGTATATCTGCAGCCACAATTAACAATGGCTACACTAAAGGGGGTCTTAGAGGATATCAACCTGCCCTGCCTCTCTAGCTGCTTAGTCTGCCTGGCGCCTGGCTCGATTGGCTGGCTGCCTCTAAACTGGCTGACTTTCTTCCAGGGTGCCTCCCTGGGACGAAATCTGCACTTCAAGGTCAACAGAGTACTGCACCTGCCACGAAATCTGCACTTCAAGGTCAACAGAGTACTGCACCTGCCACGAAATCTGCATTTGATCTGCAATTAATCATTGATTCAATCATCCGTCCACTGACCCTATTTTGGACCACCCCGATTTCAGGGACCCCCTATTTCAAAAAAAATGCGACCGAGGTTTCCTTATTAGGGGGGGCCGCGTGTTTTTTAATAGGTGGACAGGATTATAGGTCTTGGCTCATTCCAACCTCTCTTCTGAGCGATTTTCAGAGCGACCAGTGGGGGTATGCTCCGTACAGTGGACATCTATAAGCCAAACATCTATAAGCCACAGATCGAGCATATCCCCGAGACCATCCCCGCTCGATTCCCGATCTCCCACAGACCTCGATAACCTGAGCGAAGCCGCGATCAAGAACGATGCTGGTTCTGGCACGACTCGGAGCTGAGTTACACTCTTAGACTCTCAGGATCTTCCCGGAAACAATTAAGAAGCAAAAGACTTGACTCACCCTGAACTGTAATGCTGTTTCCACTTCAAGGGCACTCCAGCTTCACCTTCCCTGTTCCATGCTTCACCACCGGTCCCTTCCACCCGGAAATCCTCCCACCTCGCCTCCGAACTCGCTTCCGTCGTCCGTCGAGCTCCCTGCGTCGAGCTGCTCATCAGCGGAACTGCAGGGCATCCTTTGCCTTCTGCAGGAAGATCGCCTCGTCCTGGGGGCCAAAAAAAGGATTAAATGGATGAAACTGGGCGGTTCCCTTCGATCACAGAAAATATCGAAAAATCGAAAAAATCCTGCCGTCCTGAATCTCAAGAGTCGTCTGATTGGTCTAGAGATGTGTAGAGTGTACATGACAGATGTGAATGGTCTACAGGAAGATGTGGAGTGTCAATATATATATATATGTCAATATCATTCAATATCTACTTTCAACTCACGGCCATTGGGATGATGTACAGCCTTTTGCGTGGTTAGGGCTGAAAACAGAAGAACTGAACCTATCTATGGCTGACCCAAATTAAGAACCTCAAAGACATCTAGCGTAGCGAAAAGAACAACATGCCATTGCTTAGAACTTCCTCCTGTTTTGAATGAATAACCATGTTTCCTCAGAATACTGAACACAAGAATTATTCACGACGAGAAAAATCGACCCCTTCGCCGTTTTCCACACCGTGTCCAGCTTCCCAAATTCCCAAACGGGTTCGAGAACCAGACCGCAAATGGCCAGCCTTGCCTCCCCAAGAGTCCATTTGAGCGGAAGTGGCTTCCTTTACAAGGGATAACAGGAGGTATGAAGAAATCATAGCGATCCTCCCTAGTTGGGTGGGCTCAAAGCCCAAAACCCTCTAAATGATCCAAAGGAACCGAGAACCGGGAACGTCCGGTTCGGACTCACCTGACCGTCCTTCCGTCGCTGTCCACCGGTGCGGGCGCTGAGAACCGGACGACCTCCGGCGGCAGCTCAATCGCCTGGTAGGGCGGAAAGGACGAGGCCCGAGGTCCGCGGACCAGAAGGGCTCCGGACTTTCGGAGTCCGGTTTCGGAGTCCCGTTTCGATCGGAAGCAGGCGAAACCATCGGTGTCATAGGAGTGGTTGGTCCAAGAGATCGGTCGACCATATCGCTTCGACTGGTCCGACGTCTTCCCTCACGTTGGTGAAGGGTTCGTTCCCCTCTCACGTTCGTTCCCATCACATCTGAGAGAGTCATCTGAGCTGGGCTCTATATTGCGTGCAGTCGATGGACCAGCACGAGAGTTTTATAAAATCGGCACGGTACTGGACCACTGCTACTGACCTTTCCCAGGAAAGTCAGGCTGTCCCACCGGAGCCGGTCATTCTGGAAAATGGGAGCCGGTGGATGGATTCCCTGATCGTGATTGTTTCGAGGTTGCCCATGGAGGCCATGGAGGAGGTGGACAAAAGCAGGGCATTGGCTGGCCAGGACGCAAATGCTACAAACCCAACGAGCGGGCATCGGTGTCGTTGCGGATCCATCGAGATGTTGCCGATGTACCTGAATGACCGATATTGGTTCAAAATATGGTCAAACTTCCTATCAAAACCGGGTCATGTCTGGGTTCTAGGTGTGTATGTATAATTATAGGGAGAGAAACCATCGGACCATCTGTTTAAGGGATTGTACGGATTGTACTAGTTGGATTGTACTAGTTGCACAAATAGCTCACAATCCATTTCTTACAACACAATCTGTATCATCTCCGCACCCGGGCTGATAGGCCGAGCACAAAAACTGTTCGAAAGCAAGACACTCTGCCTCAACATCCTCCTTCTGCTTGTGAGAGTTCGCTAAAGCCAGTAAAGCTTTGCGGGCCTGGCTGATCAGGCTTTTGTGTGTTATTTCTTCTTGTTGCAGTGCAGAATGGAGAGTGCCGGGGCCCACCAAAGTCTAGCTACAACCTACAAATGACCTCGCCTTGGCACGTCAGCACACGTCAGCAACGCCTGTATCCAGGTGATAGAGATCCTCCTCTGCGAAAAGAGCCCAAGCCCATGCTAAAACAAGCAGCCACCCTCTATCCAGTAATGAAGACATCTTCCAAATGAGAGATTTCCAGGTGTAAGAGTGTTCTCATATATTGTATAAACAAAAATCCTAGGGTGCATATTACCCAGGCAGTTTTGATTGATCATGTAGTGGATGAAGGGGTGCTTCTGCAGGAAGAAACTCACTTGGATGTATATAGATCTAAGACATCCAAACACCCAGGCCGCCTGGGAGGTGGAATCGTCCACCAAACCCAACTTCTGTGAGCCATGTGTGTATATATATACACATATACCTTGGGCCCATTGAGCAAGTATATCCTTTTATATACCAGGAACAGTGGATGATAATGGTTCAGTTGCAGGCCTTTCTCCAAATATATTATATATATATATGTATATATATATATAGTGACAATTGTTTACAGGCAATGGGACAGACCCAACAAAAACAAAACGGGCCAAAAAGAAACACTCGCACATCCGCTCGCCTCTCCAACCAAAACCGCGAAGAAACAAACCACGCGACCAATCTGGCACCTGTGCTTCACTGATCACGCCCATTTGCATGAGATCAGTGAGGTTAAACACGGCCTTGATCTCTGCATCCTGCCATTCGACCGGGGTCTGGTGCCGTCGTTCAGACGGCGCGCCGGCGCGGCCAGACGTGCCGCGCCATGTGGGCAAACAGGGAAGAAACTCTCAGAGTGCGAAGAGACAGTGAAGAGCTTCTCAGAGCTTCTCAGCTTCTCAAAACTCATAGTAACCAGTTCTCAAGAATTTCCTTAAAACCATACTGAGACGATCGTGGCATGCAAAAGAAGGGAAACACATCTGCTGACAGGTGGTACATGGATTTCACGAAACACAAAGATCCTTCTACTGGTGGGGACAGCCGGGGACAGCTTGATTGAAGATGATTGAAGTATTTAAACAAAGTAAGTAAGGATTGTTTTTTTCGGCCTCTATCCATATTGAGCTCTGCTGGTCTCGGTTGAACAAACGATTTTGTTGTGCTCGCTCCAACGGCTGAGTGCGGGTCTCGATTTCTACCCGCATAGCCAAGTCAAACATCTCAACATGATTCAACATGTACACCCAAAGCCGAACTTTGCTTCATGTAAAAAATGCTGCTAGCCCCTGTTCATTGGAGACCAGGGAACAATCCCCCTCGGCCTCAAAGTTGCCAGCATGTGCTCCCTCGCGTTCTCGCAATTGCAGCTCCTTCGGTTTAGACAGGCTCTGTGCTCGGAGACGACGGAGACGAGCTCGGCCCAGTGCCGACCCGCTCGATCGGCAGAGGTGGAGTTTTCTCTCCGATGGATCAATCGATTGATTTTCTGTGCTTGCTAGCCATTGGATTGGATCACTATGATATATAAGTTATATACATCTATATAATATATATATATGTAGTTATATATACATAGTTATATGTATATATATATATACATGGATATACATATATATAGGATTATATGGGTGAGTATTAAAAATATTAAATAGGGAGACCCCCAGTTCGACCCCCTGGAAGAAGGAAAACAAACCAAAACCCCTTGGGATTGGAGACCTCCCTACAAAAATACATTGTAAAATACAGATTTTCCCTTAAACTGGCTGATTGGAAGGCAACGCCGTCACCTATGTGGCTGAGATGAGACTTCAAGTCCACCCAAAATGAACGCAAGGTCTAGAGGATACAGGAGGGAAAATCCCACAAGAAAGAGCCAACTGTATCTAGCGAGCAAGACATTAGGAACTCCCTGGTGCCAAAAGCACCCCTTCAGAATACCCCCGGCTCCAAAGGCGCTCCAAACCATCAGCTAGCTAGCAACTGAGTATCTTCAGCAACTTAAAGAGAATCTTTCACCGTGCCACCCCTTAGCACAATAAGATCAATAAGAAACAGGCAATCGAGTGTGCACACACACACACAAAGGGCCACCCTGGGGCCACCCCGACACAACATCTCGACTTTATGACCAAGAGCGCAAGAAGAATAGGCTTTCGCTGTTCAGGTCCATGGTGTATGAAGGTTGCTGGGTGCATTCTTCGGAGAACGAGGGAAACATCAGACCCCAAAAGATCACATCGAAGAGGCGGCCACACGTATAGGCAAGGTGCCAGTGATCCACATCACAACAACATTGATTTGTTTAGGCAGCTGTCTTCTCTTACGTCCGCCCCGAATTTTTAATTGGTTTTTTCACCAATAGCTCTTTTCATGCCCACCAAAGATGTCCATCTACGGTCCAGTTGGTTTGTTGGTCTTGCAAGGAAGAAAAGGAATCCGGACATGAGGACAACTCAACCCATCCATGTTGCTTTGAGGATCCAACCCCATCAAATCCTTCACTCCAAAGACCTCTATATATATATATAACTATATATATATATATACTCTCAGTGTCCTTCGCTGGTCCACCCCGAACCGTTCAGCCCCCATCGTCTCGGATCATGACCCGAGACCGACCGCCAAGCGGTCCCGCGCTGCTGGAAAGCGGCGCCATGCGAAAGCGGACATCACCCAAGGCCAACATCGATCCCAGGGGATTCCCCGACCTTTTCGAGCGGGATTTAGTTGATGTTTGAAGTAGCAAATGAGCGACTAATAGCGATGCACCTTGTTACTAATAGCTTCTTATTGCTAGGAGTATTGGCCTCCAACCTCCTAGCGTCCTTGTTACTAATAGCGATGGACCTTGTTCCTAGTAGCATGGTTTCCAGCCTGGAAAAGGTCTCCACTCCATGAACGCTTCACGGAGGTCGCTCGGTTGCCTCGAGCAAGAAGCCACGGAGGTCGCTCGGCTTGTGGAAGCACACGGAGGCGCACAAATCCTGGGCACCGGAGGGCCCGGGCTGAAGTAGAAGTGACTCCGGTCTCCAAATAGAGAGGATGGCACGGTGTCCGATGTTGAGTGGGGATCTACTCTATCTATTTGGGGGTCTTTTTGACATATCTTTACTAGGAGTTTGTGAAGAAAAAGAGAGATAGGAGACAAACTTGAATGATGAGAGAGAAGTTGTGGATCAGCCATATGCTCAGGGATTGCATCCTCTTCTCACGACAGGACGGTCGGAAACATTAAATCATTAGATAAGTGATAAGGGACTACAAAGGACTGATATGGACTGATTATATATATATATAGGAGATAGCTTACCATGCAAGTGGTGCACCTTGCGTGAGGTCAACCTACTGCGAGGGCACAAGGTTTCAAGGGGAAGTCAGCGTGAGATGCGTGAGGTTGACGTATCTTGATTAAAAAATTATCAAAACGCTCTGGGCACACATCAAAAGTCCGTAGTCAACAAAACTCCTTGAAAACAGGGTTCCAAGTCAACTTTACAAAGGGTGAGTCGAGAGAAGAACCTCTACCCTTGCCCTGTGGCCCAAGGTTCTTGATGATTGCCATGAGCCATGGATTCCGAGCACAAAATTGACCATCAAACAACCCTTTTCCAAATAAGGACAATCCTGTTGTATCACCATTCCATGCTTGTTGCAAAATCTGTTCCAATCAAGCACAACCACCAGAGCATGCTTCGAACAAACGATACTTCCCACAGATTGGGATGCTAGGGACTCCAGGTGCAAAACACTGCAGAGTTACCGACTCAAAAGTTTGCCATTTGGGGCAGGGCGGGGGTAAAACAAAAAAGGAATGCACCCGGGTCACCAGGAGGTGGAAGGTTCGTGAGGAAAAGGCGCAGTCTAAGGTTTGAGGATCTGGGACATCTGGGAGGCTGAGGGTGTTCGAGACACCCATGTCTTGGCCAACCAAAGACCGAACACCGAACCAACCAGATCCAAATAGCCAAATAGTCTATTCAAGTGTCCAAATAAGCCGCCTTTTGCACCCCTCCCCATACCGTTCCGAGAAAAATGGTACCCCAGGCACGCTGAAGAGCTCAAGGATGCGATGCCTCAGTGGGGATTCCGAGACAAAAAACAGAGCTCGAGATCTTGACGGGGCGGTCTCTTCCACACACAAATCCGTTTTTCATCGAAAAACCACAGCGCACCTATCCAAACCACGGCGAGCTAGCGGCTAGGAAAAGAAAACAGAGAGGGCAAGGATCCCAACGCTGTCATCTGCAAATCCCTCACAAATTACCTGCCAGTGTCCTCCAACACGATTCTGCGGGTGCAAATGCCGATTTGCTGCATATGGCCGGAGACCTGGCAGTCTAAATCTGGCAGAACATCATCTTCTGTTTGTCATGTAGTCCACCTTGGGAATGTCCCATTGCCAGGGCCCAGTCGAGGATTTTTAGGTGGCCCACCTCTCCAAAAATTGTCACAATATGTGATCATCGTATACCGACTGTTACTGGTGCCTGGTGCACCCTGGTTTGCTGGGACACCTGTGTGGTCCACCTAGCTTACCGAGGCACCAACGGCGACCGCACCAAGGCCGAGGTGCTTGCGCAGGTACTCGTCGGCCTTCTTCAGCTCCTCATTGGCCTGGGCATCTCTGGTGCCGGAACTCGGTCGGGGTAGCAACATGGTCGATGGCCGTGTGGTACAGTGGTGCCGGTCGTTGGTTGAGGTGATGGGTTCTTAGGACGTTGAACTACTGTATTTACTTGTGTAATTCATCCCCACGAGACCCAAACTCCAAAGCATCTTCCCCCTGCCCAAGCACAGCCCCAAGCATCTTCCCCCTGCAATCCCAGCTGGAGCAAGTCGGGGGCTGTTGTTTCGAAGACTCCGAGCATGCAGAAGGGCAGATGGGTGCTTTCTTCAAGATTACCGGACCCATCTCCGAGAATCAAGCGAAACTACTGGAGATGAGCTAAGAGGAAGACAACTGGACTCCAAGCATCCCGGAGAAGCTCAAACACCACCAAAAGACTGAGAGATGTTCCTGTTCTCAGGTGGGTGTGTTATTCTTCAACAAATCCACATGGTACAGATCCAAAGTAGACTGACAAATCCAGCCTCCCAGGTACCTACCCGGCCGTGTCAGACCCCTCCGTCGTCTCAGACCACCTCTTCAACCATGGCTGGAGATGGAAGACGGCGCCTCAACGTGGATCCTTTGGAGCCAATCCTTCGGGTGCACCGGCGGGGAGACTCCGCGAGCCCGATCCGAACGCGAACAAATCCAGTCAATTCATCTGGGTGTGTGAGGCCTAGGGAGGCCTCAAACCGTGGGAACCCCTGGAAGAATGAACACATCCTAGTGTTTGTCCCTCTCCCTCTCTCTCTCTTCCAAATGTACGTGGAACCTGCTTTGGTTGCAGCCAAATATTATTGTTTGTTATAGGAGCTGGGAGCTATGTTCAATGGCCAAACCTGATCCTTCTCTAGTGAGAGATAAACCTGTTCATTTGCCAACAAAATCGCAAAACAAGCTCCAGGAGATGGAAGTGCGCGCAATAAACTCTAAGCCGACCAACGTCTAGTCTACTAAATCTACTAAGAATGTTTGTTTTGCATATAGAGATTGTATGCATTACTAGCATCATCTAGATTCAAAAACATGCAATCTCGGAGTGGTATTGATGCAATGTTCAACAAAGTATTGATCAATCTCACTTAGAAGCAATGCTCAAGGACTCATGAAATGAGATGTTTGAGAATCCGTCAATACCTCAAGCACGTCAAGATCACAGAGCGCTTGGCTGGCCAACAAAGTGCCAGTTATAAGGAGTTTGGTGAACACCACAATGTTGAACTCTTGGAGTGATCTCGCACTTGACTAACAGCTGTGCTGTTACAGGAGCAGGCAGTGAGGCAAGCTTGTAAATTTCCCTCCTGGATTGCATAAACTTGGAAGCCCTTCTTCATGTCTGCAATTGTTTTGATGCTTTTGGGGGATCTTCATTGCAGGGCTATGGCGGCGCACCACGTCAATTGATCGCGGCCTTTTTTTCAAACGGAAAGACGGCGACGCGGATCGTCAATGGATCGCGGCTACGCGGTCGCACTGGATTATGCGACATTAGAGGGATTGGAGGGGTATGGAGTCAAATCAGCTGTAGCCACATGTCAATGTACCATTCCTCGCTTGCTTGTTACCATCTCATCTCTTAGCACAGGACCGAGTTCAAACTTGTGGGGAATTTGATGGAATTTGAAATCATCGGAGGTCGGAGATGGTCAAAGACTCTTCCCATGTTCGTCTCTAGATGTCTGATATGTTTGGTCCTTGTCAGTCATTCAAATCTGCCAGTTACATGGTTCTAGTAAGTAGTCATCGGACCAGCTGGAGCAACTTTTCACTCATTTGTCACTCTACTTCCTGGCCATGACTGGTGTCTTGGCTAAGCTACGCTTGATCGTGAAACGTTTTTTTTATCGCCGTGGAATCACGTCGGATGCTCCGAATCACTCGAGATGGTCACCTGTGGCCGCATTGATGGCACGTGTCGGTATCGGTATGCTAGTACACCTCGAGATGCAAAAACTCATCGATGTACCATCCCTCACAAAAATCACGGAGGTGCCATTCGCTTGTATGTGTCTACTGTCTGTGGTTTCCAGTGAACACACACACAACCCATGCCACATGCAGCTGTGCACGTTGGTGGTCGGCTGAACGGTGCTAGCAAAGCACACAGAAGCAAGGCTCGTCCGGTGCCAGAAGGAACAAAGCCTAAAGCTCGGCGGCTCCGAATCCCAAACGCCTAAGAGATCCTAAAACAACCAACTCCCCGAAAACCCATGCCCACTGGGAAGGGAGTGTTTCTTCAAACCCATGCCCCACGAGACCTGACGGCCAGAGTAACGACCGGTGATCTCCGGATCTCAGGCCCCCGAACGCACGATGCACACGGTGATCCCTTTGGCGTGGGACACGCAGAACGGGGGGATGCTGCCTGAGGCGGCGGGGGGCCCAAAAAAGGCGTGGGCCAAAGGAAGTGAAAAACACGAAATGCCTGCCCAAACCCATCTTCTGGATTGTTCTGGTGGCTGAAATATGCTAAAGCGTAGCTTTTCTCCGTGGTACGGAATTTGTACATAGTATGGTTTTCAGCGATTAAACACGACACAAGTTCATCCAACACCACCTTGTCAACCACTACCACACGCGCTAGTCACAGTCACACTCCCAAAAAATTGCTACCTTGGTTTGGGGTGTCCAGGTATCTGACCAACAACGAAGTCAATCGAGGTGTCCCTCGCAGAACCCATGCGCATTCCCTTTTCCAAGGAATCGCGCCTCCACGACAGGGTAACCACCACAAAGTCTACTTTTCTGAGTCACTAACATTGAAGTGGATGGCACACCCTGTTTGGTCTTCGGATTTGATGTCATAGTCTTCCGTCCATGTCATCCACGTTGGCTCGTTCTTTCTCTCCTCGCCCCGTTGTTCCCTGAAGAACACCCAAACCGGCCCAGGCGAAGGCCTGTTCTCTCACGAGAACCACGGCTCCGGCGGCTCTGGCCATGAGACTCACACCGTTTTCTCGATGTCTCGTACGGTACCGGCGGCGGCGTGCCGAACGAACCCCTCGCCGTGTCTGTCCAAGGGGCCGTTGCCACCCACGCCGGGCCCAATCAGCAGCATCGAAGCACCTTCAGCCTGAAGCACTCGGAGTGAGCTGCTGGGGTTCTGACAGGCTGTAAAACACCCAGCTGTTGGGGTAGTTGACCCTTGTCCCATCTCCGGCTGTGGGTCAAAGTAGTTTTAAACGGATATTTTGTATAGTATTAAAAGCAGGGACAGGAGCGAAAGTTTCACGAGGTATTCAGCTTCCTTCGAGAATGGACGTGCTTCAGTCATGGAGGACATTTGGCGCTGATCTTTTCTGAAGGCTTGATTTCGTCAATGAACATGCTGTTGCTCCCGTGTTTCACGGTGTTGTTGTCTGTTTTTGTTGGCCCATGATGACATTTGCGATAGACCGGGAAGTGACATTTAGAAGTGATGCTCGTCCCAGATCTCGATAGAAAGGCCGTAAAAGAACCATGTTAGTTGGTCTGGTATGACTGTAGGCTGGGACTCAGGAGAACTTCTGGAACAACTCATGCACATTTATATATATATATAATATTCCAGCACCACCCAGTTCGGGTGTGTATTGGATGGAAAATACATTTTCAGGGGGGGTCTATCAACCACCCGAACTGGGTGCTGCTGGTAGAATCCTGTTACAACTCATGTCATTTCGACCCCCAGGACCGATCACCGCGGGAAGCACCGAGAACACCGAGTTCGGCGGGAGCACCGAAACTCGGAGGCACCGATGTTTGCGTCGCTTCGAAGTACGGAAAGACCACATGCGTGTGTATTTCAATAGAAGGCCACCTAAGTCACCTAACATAGTGAAGTTGCAAGGTGATCCTCTCTTCATCAAGTACTTCATGGCTGATGATTGGTACACTAAGCTTGGACACTTGTGGGTATCTCGTCCCACAATCAACTGCTGCTTGACCCAGAATGTCTGAGGGATGAAACCTGAACCTGCCTCCCAGTACTCAAAATGACTGACTCACTTTATCCTACTGTTTGGATCCATCTGTCCGAATGTTCTCCATCACCGCCCCAAAGCAGAAAGCCGGCGGGGAGCGCCCGTGGCAGCCCGTGGCAGCCTTGCAAGCTGCCAGAATGCCTGACTTCACATCGCCCGAAGGCTGCGTGACCTGTCAAGTCAGCTCGTGCGCTCGCGCCGAACCCGGCGAACCCCAAGTCTGTAACCGGGAAGTTCATGCGAAAATCCCGCTGTAGATCCCAAGTCGTGGTTCTTGAGATGTGCATAATGAAGGTCGGAGTCGGCACCATGAACAGAACCTTTCAAAAAAAATACAAGTGGAAACCAAGCACGCCTACCACTTCAATGTTGACAGCTGCCCAAAGACCTCCCAAAAGGCGCTTCGGACGCCCAGAGACCTCCCACGAGATCCACGAGAGGGAGTCACGAGCGGACCACATGAGGAATCGGAGGGGTTGGTTCAGCAACACCAAGATCCATTCGGCGGAAAAGATCCAAGAAAAAGCATACAAAAGTATGGAACATCCTCCCAAATGAACCATGATTCGCTCTATGCCCTGTTCCGTAGAGGTGTATCTTGTCTGTCTGAAAGCTGGATGATTTCTTAAATGATCAAAGTTAAATGTAATTATGAGTTGGGTCTATCCTATTACCTGTAACAGTGGATGATGATGGTTAGTAGAGGCCTTGTCCAAGAATAGTGATACTTGTTTACTGACTGTTACAGGTAAGAACGGACACTCCCAAATTATGAGTTCGTTCCGAATCCTGTCGTTGTCAGCTGCGGCTTGCGATTTGGATCTTCAGATCAAGCGTGAAGCACTGGGTGTCTGCATGAATGGCTGTGAGGAACGAAGAGCCCCAAACCCCAAATCGCCTTGAGTCTTCATGCCACTGTCATTTCTCCAAGGCACTGGCATCTGTAGAAACTCCGTCTCCCTTCATGCCCCCCTCACCCCCTTGAAGCAAAAGTGGTCAGCTGGCCTTGTAATCAATAGAGATCTGCTTCTGAAGCTTCTGCATCTCCGCTTCTGCCGCTTCCTACAGCCAAAAGAGAGCCTATGAAAATGTGGTCGCTTTGGGGAACAAACAGGCGAGTCGGACAGGCTCTGGATGAATGATCCTGCACCCTGGGACATGCTTGCTTGGGGCATGCTTGGACATCTGCCTCATTTGCGTGGACTGCAGTCAATGATTTTTTCCCGAGGGGGTGTTCTTCTTCACCAAGCCCTTCAGCCATACGGGGAACCTGATTTCTGCTGACTCCCGTCGGTTTCAGTTCAGGCTTCGACGCTTCGAATCCATCCTGTCAAACCCTTCAGCCCATGAGGTGTGGGGTGGGGTGAAGAGCCATCAGTCGATCCCAGTCGATCCCAGGACACGTCTTCACATGACCACGGCCGCATCTCTCGGAGCGGAACAAATGAGCGACCGAGAAACGAGGCGGGGCAAGGCCAACCGAGCGGCCGGGCGTGAGTTCGATCGAAACGGGGGGAACGAAATGGGATGAAAGCATTGCCCCAAATATGGAACGTCAACTAAAAAACAAAAACGCTTCTGAACAGGTGTCGTGACAAGGGTCGTTGGAGCTCCCCTCCACCGAACTGATGATCAACTTTGAAGAAACAGGAACAACAAAAACAAACTCATCAATTCTCATGGCATCTCATTGCATCCTTTACATGTATTTTACCTTATTTTACTACATATTTTACCAAAAGAAAGAACCAACACACCAAAACACCCCAAGAACCACCGGGAGAACGGACACCGGAACCCACAGGGAACGGAAAGCCGACCGCACCGCCCATCCGCTGCCCACCTTGATGTGCGCTTGCATGTTGGTCCCCGCTCTCGATGGAAGGTTCGCCAGGGCTGCGAACGTCTCCTGAGCTCCGTCGGGCGAAGCCGGCGACCGACGAGTCCACCGACAAGTCAGAGGATGACGCCCAGCCTGCCTCATTCCAGTGAAGGAAACGTGAAAATGAACACATTAAATATATGCAAACATAATTCAAACATGTAAGAAAATGCAAACATATGAAAACATGAAAACATGTATATAATGTATTCAAAGTAATATATTGTAATCTTTGTCTCTGCTTCCGGCCACCTCCACGCTCCACGCTGTGTGGAGTCACCTGCCGGACCCTCCTAAAAGCTCCCCCCTCAAAAAAAACCCACAAGTCCCGCTCGTCCGGCGCTCCTCGGTGGCATCCCCGGGGTCGTTCATGGAGGAAAGCATCATCTCCGGGACCAGTTTTGGAATGTTCAGCGCCACGATCTGCCGGTGTCGCCACGAGACGAGAGTCGTCAATGAGAAGAAGTCCTCATTGACGTGCACGTGAAGACGTGTCGCCGGAGAAGGTATGGAAAAACACCTCCAACGACGGGGGGTCCTCTCCGGTCTCACCATCGGGATTACACTCCAAGTCACTACACTCCGACGAACACATCACATGCAAATGGATGGCACCTCCTAGTTGTAAAGGAAAAAAGGCAAGAAGTCTTATTATAGGGGCCATTTTCCACTTGCATGTAGTGTGCCTGTCAGAGTGTAACATTGAAGTGGAAAACCAGCAAAACTGCATGGGTAAGTACGACCCCCGGGCCATTTTGGGCTCCGCACTGTTCAAGCTAGGATGAAAGACATGGTCGAAGAAACCGTGCTTGTGAAGGGAAGATCCTCCATCCACCCAGGATCTCTTGTAGGTTCGAGGACTCATTTAAACAGAGCCCTGTAGAAGCAAGGGAGCTTCCACATGGTGCTTTCAGGCAGCTGTCCCACCCGTTGCGAACTTCATCTTCGCGACCATCCAAGTGTGTGTGTGTGTGTGCGTGTGCGGAGTTCAGTTCTCAAAAAGTGCAGAATTCCCGAAATTCAGGGAACACACACCAGTTCATTCTCCCGGAAGTTCACCGCTTCGTCTCAATTCCCCGAGCAGTTCATCGAGTTCAGAATCCAGTTTAAGGCGAACGGGTCGCTTCGTCGCTTCGAAGACCAGACCGGTTGAAGGCTTCCAAAGACCGGATCGGTCGTGGATCCGCGCGTACGGTCCTCGGGCGTCCGGGACGTAACGAAGTGAAGTGCTTAGGGATGGGGACTCTTCAGTGCTTGGGCTTGCAGCCTTGGCCTTGGGCTGTGGAGTCCCGAAACCAAACAGAGTGACAAAGGCAATATGTGTTTCTCATATTTGTTCACTGTGCGGTGTGGTCTGGATGACATGTTGTCTTTCAATAACTCCTGGTGATGCTTGTGGCAAATCCAATTCTGGTCAAAGAGGCAGGAAAAGTTTGGCAATTGATGAGAGCCTTTACAAGCACCATTTCAACTAGAATACTGAAAAGGTGGCAAAGGATGGACACCTTTCCATCGTAAGTTTGAGACACCGACTTCAAGCGCCAACACCTATCCCCAAACCCCCCAAACCACCGCACACCCAAACACCACCGCGACGCACCACCGCGCGGGACCGTCCGCCTTGTCTCCCGGCTGCGCTAAATGGATGGCCTTCCGCACCGCCGCTGTGGCGCCTTGAATGTCCTGTGTAGACAAGGAAATAGCCGCTGTCAGGTGGAAGGCGCGTCAGCGGGAAGGTTCAGGAAAAACAGGGATTCGATTTGAGCAGCCAAAAGGTTTGGCGAGGCAAACACTGATTGTTTGTTGGTAACCAAGAACTGGACTCAAATCACCCCTCCTTGGGCAAACTCTATTTATCTATCCATCCATCCATCCATCCAAAACGCACAGGTCTTGGAACGAGGCCCTCCACGGGTCTACCAGGTCGTTGTCGTGTCTACCGGTCGGTCGTTTCACATGCTAAGACGAAGTTGGGGCTTCAGGACGTGGTGAAAAATCAAAACACCTGTGAGCCAACAGCGACCTGAAAGCCCCCAAAACGCCCTGTGACTTGGATTTTTGCCAGGAATTCCGCAACAAAAAGATATCTGGCACCAGAAAAGGACTCATCCATAGGGAACACAAGAATCCGCAACAAAAATACATATGGTTGCTGTTCAGTCGATCCGCTTGATGCGCAGCTCAGTCGCCGAAGAGAGGCCTAAAACCACGGAGTATCTGAACAGAGTCGGTGAGGTTCGGTCTTCGAACTTCTGTTCAAAACAACATGCAGGATGAAATCATGGGCCTTAAAAGAAGACTTGGTGACTCGAGTTGTTTTACTATTCTCCTTTATGAATGTTTATACACAACATATATATATATACACACGTGACTTTTGGATACCTTTGAGATGAGATCGTGTTAGAGACGGTAGCAAGAGATGCATTTACCTGCATACCTGACAGTGTGTATGGTATGGAAAAGCTGTCTGGTGACAGTTTCTCCGAGGGCCAGAGATCTTTTAAAGTGCCACTCACTTCAAGAGAAGAGTTAACAACCCTTTGCTCACTCTGACCAAAGCAACCAATAGATACCATGGCCAAATACCCACGGCGTGTCGTGCCTTGATGCTCACTCCAACCAGAATCTTGGTTGAGAGCGCAATCCTCACCGTGCGGCGTGCTTCGCCCGAAGCTGGAGAATGTCCAATTCTCCGAAGGCGGTTTTTGGATGAAGGGGACAAAAGATGAAACCCCGAGATGAGCAAGTCATCATATAAGAGTATGCAAGTGAGTCAGTCCAAAATCATACCCTGAGCATCCCTGTGCTCACATCGTGTATTTCTTAACTCCTGCATACTCCTCCCAGGCCACATGGTTCGAACCCACAGAACGGTGGGGCGTGGCCACGACGTGGCATGCCGTATGCCGATTGGGGCTTCATCAGAGGATCCGAGGTGTTGCCTGCTCCAGAACACCACAACCACCGGAACTCACCACCGTCTGCGGAACTCAAAACGGGTGGGAAAACCAAACGCAAACACTGGGATCAATACACACCAGTTGTGAGAACCCACCTCCTATTTTCAGAAGAAATCCGAGTTATCTGGGATCCATCGATGATCTCAGGTAGTCTCCAGATTCCTTTGAGAAAACCTCCCACATCTCCCTCCCACATCGTCCACTGTCCTTGAGGGCAACATAGTCAAGCGCGCCAGACCGGCCTAATTACCTCAACTAATTATATACCTCAAAAAAACAAAGCCAAAGCTGCAGAATGCTGTTGCGCCTCATGCAGATATTGGAGTTAGTCCCGAAGGAAGAGTTCGAGATGGAAACCACCTATGCAGAGAATGCCCCGTTGACGTCCGGGAATTCCAAGTTGTGTAGGATAGCTTCCAAAGGTCTCCACCTGTCTCCCTGGTTGTCTCCCTGGTCTTTGCGTGAATAGGATTCAGCTGCAAATCTTTAGCAACGACCCTGGCACAAAAAATTGCCAGAAAGGTCAGCTGGAAAGAGATCAAAAAATACTGTGCCAAAAAAAAACGAAGGACCAAAGTCCTTCATGGTCCCAGTGCAGCCAGGAACGTGTCCCTAGTACTGCTTGCGTATGGGCCCTCAGGTTCAAAACCCTGCACCTGCATCTAGGAATCTTTTTGGAGTTTATCATAGTTTATCCTAAAATGTCCATCAACATCAGCCAAAAAAGATCATAGACATCAAAGCCTCTGAGGTTTCATCAACATCATCATGTCTCATCCTACCGTCCCTCATGTGACCCTCGTCCACCGTAAAAGGACGACCACTCAAAGAGCAGAAGACCAGACGTGCGCCTCAGAAAAGCATGTCAAAAAAAGTAGACAGCCAAAGCACCATGCAAAGTTTCTAAAACAACAATTTCTGAGCTAAACCTTGGGTCATCACTGAGCTAAAGCGCTTGTCGAGTCTGGTCGAGTAGACACTGTTTCTTTGAGCGAGAGATCATCGGTATGCGGCGTTGGGCAGCTCCGACTTCATGTCGAGGGCCGTTTTTTCCACACATTTCTCCCTTCGACTCCTTCGACTCAGCCAGCATACGCTTTGATAGAGCCGGGGCTTAAGGGAGAGACTGTTTGGTGTGGAGAGTCATCCTGACGGAAAGTTTGATTGTTTGGCCTAGTGCTGTTTTCAGCGTTTTGAGGAAAACGCCAAAAATATCAAAAAATCCACTCCCCTTCACTTGGACCCCATGATCTCAAATAACTTCGGAATGTATCTTTGTGTGTGTAGAGTGAAGTGATCTTGGGAGCTTAAACATCCAGTTCGCCATAGAAATGACAAAGAACAGGCAACCTAGAACGCAGGGCTGTGCGCATCTTTCGGATGAATCTCCAAGTGTAAAGTCCCAATGGGCGGGGGAGTTTCATAGAATCTCCCAACGTCACCACGACTGCACGTCGAGTTTGGGACGTGGATGTGATTTCCGGGTTGACATGCGTGTCATCGAATTGCATCGTTGTCTACAGGCCTGGAAAGGCGCAGACCGCAAAGAGCTCTGAAAAAAGTGAGCCATATGCAGGGGTCAAAGCATACTTACTGTAATATAGAATTGAAAACATTGCGTTGAACGGTTACTACAACTAAAGATGCGTAGCTTAAAAGAATCCAAAGACTGGTATCTTAGAGTAGCTCTGTGAGAGATCTGCTCGGCGCGCCCGGCCAAATAAACTAACATACGGAAACGAAATTGCCATCCGAAAACGAAGCCCTTAAAGCTTCCTAGCCTCCTAGATCTCCTAGCTGTTTCTGTTTAACTTTTTACCCCGCAGACTTGTGGGCATCCACGTGGCCTTCCATCCTATGACCCCTCAAGGTAGGAACGGCGGCTTCAGGGTCTTGTCCTAGGCCCGCATCCTAGTAAATCTTTCCACTGCTCAGGCCCATGGCAGCTTGCAGTGCCTGTAAAGGCCGACCACATAAAAATGGCAGTGGCTCCGCATGAGGCATGCCATTCCACGAGGCCACCACATGGCGGCTTTCAAGACCTGCAATAAACGCCTCCTCCCTTGCACCTGTCATAAGCGCCACCGGCTCACATGAAACCGGTCAAACTCTCTCAACAATGCTTTCTATGTCTAGGCCCACCACGTAGGAATAGCAGCTTCCACAACCTGTGAGTCTACCCTTCAACCTGCAAGGCCGGTTTCCTTTGTCGACCCTGCCACCTCCTTCCAGCCCAGCCCCACCAGGTAGGAATGGCGGCTTTGAAGACCTGTGAGTCGACCCTTCAACCTCCCTCAAGGCCCGCTTCCTACATGGACCTCCTTCTATAGGCCCAGCACTGCAACTACATCCACGTGAACCCGTCCACCTACTTCCTAGGCCACCGCGTAAGAATGGCAGCCTTTGAGAAAATAGCATCAGTCCACTAAAACAAAAAAAACTATATTATAATATATATATATATATACGGAGCCGGCTGCCGCCCAAAAACATACGGATGAAATACGTCTTACGCTACCTCTGGGGACGTTTCCCATAGCCGGGCCTTCAGGCAACCTAGAACGCAGGGCTGTGCGCATCTTTCGGATGAATCTCCAAGTGTAAAGTCCCAATGGGCGGGGGAGTTTCATAGAATCTCCCAACGTCACCACGACTGCACGTCGAGTTTGGGACGTGGATGTGATTTCCGGGTTGACATGCGTGTCATCGAATTGCATCGTTGTCCAAAGGCCTGGAAAGGCGCAAACCGCAAAGGGCTCTGAAAGAGTGAGCCACATGCAGGGGTCAAAGCAGGACTTGTAGCGAAAAACACTTCATTGAAGGCATTGCGGGCGTTTCCATCAAATTACTCATGAAACCCACTCGGGCCGCCCGTGTTCAGGGTTGCGTGTGGCACGTTCAGTTCTCTTCAGCCCTGTGAAACGATCAGTCTGGTGTTCCTCTCTCAACTGAATTCAACTGAATCAAGAAAAACTGTGGTCCAGTTGTCAAGCCCTTCAGTCTACATTGGTGAGTTTGGATGTACAGCATCGGTCTGCTACCGCAAACACTCGTCCCCAGTGGTTCTCCAAAAGCCACCAAAAAACAACACGAACAATAACGTCACTGGCATGTCGCTATTAAACAAGGAGATCTGGTGGGTTGAACGTCTTCCCCTTTGACTCCGCTCTAGACTCTAGCCGCAAGCTGAAACATCCTCTTCCAGTCGAAATGTCGCATGTCACTCAAGACAAACTGACTGACTGAGGGCAAGTTTAGGTGACTTGGCCTCCGAACTTACCACAAAGTATCAGGGCTGCACCTAACGATGCAATTGCTATAGTCATCATCTATGATCATTATCTTAGAATAATGTTTAACCAGACTGCGAATCAGCGTCGCACCGGTTTGCCTTCCAGCGGAGCCCTCTCGCAGTGTGGGTGGCTGTAGGTCAACTCGAATTCGATGGATGCACAACAGAAACCTCATGCAGGATCATGAATGCTGCTGGTGCTGGGAAAATGCTTGGATTGCTGGTGTTCATGCTTTTTGTCCTGGTGTTCCATGGCACCCCGCGATAGTTCATCTTGCTTGGGGACCTGCTTCTTGACGGGCAGTCTCGATGGGCTTATGGAGCTCTTGCTGGCAAGACTGATGTATGGAGAAATCGCGAAGGTCTCTTGGCAAAACTTGCGCAATTGAGACCTCCGAAAGCCTACTGATTGGGAAGCTGACCATATCCTGGTCCCGAATGGAGCTGGTTTCACTCTGCGTTCCAAGGTGTTCTTGATGGATACCAATCCTAAGCTCCAAAGAAATGGATACGGATACCCTCCCTTCAAACAAATGGAACAATTCGTGGAAATGTGTGGAAATCGCTCGTGGCCCCTGTGGGTCAGACTGCTTGACTGCAACCGGATCTGCTTGAAGACTGGCTGTCAGACCCGGGGGACCTTGGTTCGTTTTTTCCCACCAAACATGAAGAGAATAGACTACTAGACTACCTGGTTTCGGTCAACCTGCCCTGGGTGAAAGGGGCTTCGGGTGGGTTTTGACCCACTGCCATTTTGAGGCACCAAGCATGAATAAGAACCTTTCAGGCATGGAAATCTGCCCTCCAACTCTATGCGTTCAAGAGCTCTGCCACAGGAGGCGGCGTGGAATAGACTGACTTTAAAGTCAATGTTCAGAAGTCTGCGCAGCGTGCACAACCACCGAATTCGCCGTTCAGGGGGGCGGTCCCGTCCAGAAGCCCCAACTCGCTGATGCTGTGTGTTGGGTCTGAAAGACTTCACAATTTTGTTTTATTTACTTTGAATTCTATTCTAATTCAAATTCTATTACTAGTAGTAAGAATGCTCCTGGTAGCGATGCCAGGAGCCCCTAGTAGCGTCCTTGCTCCTAGAAGCGATGCCCTTCGCTCCTAGTAGCGTCTGAGGTTTGACAAGCAGGGTGGGAAGAATTCTTGCATGTCAGACATCGTCATCGTATTGTGTGCCCACAAGAAGGGCTTCCTCCACAACGTAGCTTGCAGCGGTCCAGAAACCAACCCCCTTAGCCACCAAACGTGAGATAATTTGAAATTCTGTCGTGACCTGGACGAACAGCACCTGAAAACCAAGCGTTGGTCATTAACACAAATGAAAGCCCGTCATCTTCCAATGAAACACAGCGGAAAAAAGAAAACAAATACACTGCAAGTGTTGGGTCTCCTAAACAACTATGCCATCCCATTTGGCATCAGCCATCATCACTTCGGCATCCACCTGACGATACGACCGGAAACCGCAGCAGAAAAAGACCAAAGGGCCTCCAAAGGGCTCCAAAAAGGAGTCCTTAAGCAACTGGAGCCAGTGCCCGTCAGTGCCCGTTGATGGTCACACCAGGAGTCATGAAATGAAACATCCATTCTTAGAAATCCCCGCGTTTCGATGAGCTGCTCAAGCCACCGTGGAGTTTTCCAGATGTCCCACACGGTGACCAGGGGGCGGTTCGTGACCAAAAAAGAAACCGACCGACTGAAAGAACCAATTTGAGCGGCCAAATGCCTGGTCAATTTCCGGTTGGAGAAAACCTCTGACGTCGGAGGGCGCCACGTTTTCGGGAGGAAAACGAAGACGAAGATGTCTCTGATGGTTTGGCGGAGGGTTTTCAAGGTTCATCGATGTTCATCTAGGCCAAGTAGCTGGCAAGTCGAATCAAGCAGGTAGACAAGATCCTCCCCATGTAAACCACTTCAGCCATCTCCTTTTGGGATGTGGGATGAGCAAGGACCGAGCTGGCCGATTTGGCACAGAAAGCCAACAATGCA